GTAAAAATGTATGGTCAATAAAATGAAAATTGATCAAAAAATAACAACTCATGTGCAAATCCGTCTACTACTGGGACATTGAAAACAGTATCCCAACTTAATCAATTTTAAAAGGTCTGGTATAGATTTTCGGTAATTAGTTTGCAAACTTCCTCTTCTTCTTTCGCCTTATTGTAATGTTACTCTCCCCACTCTACGGAGAGGTGACACATATTTAAGTGACGACATAAACATCCGACATTTCAGGCAGTTCAAATATATATCCGAGATAGAAAACGATTTTCGTAGTCCTTTTGTAAACTCTTCTGCTAATTGCATTTACATACCGAATACCATTTATAATATATTTTCTATCATACAGTATATTTGCGCCATTTCTACTGCAATATATATTTAGGTTGTTATGAATTTATTTCACCTGACTAACAATCTCTATATGTTATTTTATCTCTGTCATTTTACTTATCATTTTATTTGTCATAGTATCAACATTATCATGTTGAAACTTGGTATATGCTATAGCACATTAACTTATCTAGCTTAATTTAAAAAAAAATAATTCTCTACTCTGATTCGACACTCTTTCCTTCGTCGTCTTTCTTCATTTATTATCCATAAAAACTCATGTTATAATATTTCGAACATGATTTATACCACTGCATTTACAGTAATGATTTTATGTTAGGAAAAGACCTTTATAAGCATGACATGCTTTCGGATCTGATCCTATGTCATCACTGTATATTATATTAGTAATCATTGTATGTAAATTGTGTGTGTGCGAAAATGTTTGAAAAACGTTTAAACTAATTGCGTCTAAGAAGGCGAATAACAATTGACAAAATTAATAGGGATTGGTTGCAGACATATAAGTTTCAAAAGCAATGTCGTGAATGGTTCCCGCACTGTTGTTCAACGAATGTGAAACATGGGTTCCAACGCACTTGGATCTGTTCATATATATTGTAATTAACTTCCAAAAGCAATTGAAGAGAAATATGATGCAAACCAACCTTTTCATGTCAAACACTGCCCTCAATTGAAACAATTCACATTCGATCAATTGTGTTTCTCTGCACACCATAAGGCAATACCATGCCGTTGATTATAAACATAACTTCAAGAAATTTACATCAGAGTGTTTTATTAATGTTTATCTTCTACAAAAGTGTCTAAATGAAACTCGTTTATACAAGTTTTCCCCACACATTTTGTCCGTATACATACGATACCGTGATAAATGTAAGCAAATGGAGGCTACAGTTCGTTAATTTGCGATAGTTTGCTACTGATAACTACATGACACAGAGGATTAATCAACTTAACATGTGAAGAATTAAGCTTGACGCACACATATTGGAGGCGACAACACTTTGATCACTTTATTTCCAGATGTTTGACATTGCAGTCGATGATGTAAATGATCAAAGGTAAATTGTTTCCAAAATTAACATTTGTAGTAAAACATGTCTGGGAGAATGTATCATGTAAAAACTGCAAATGTTTTAACTTTTGAAACGTTGATTTTTTTTTAGATGCTTTAATGAGACTTCTTAAAAAATAAGTTTCTATTGCCATCCGAAAATGACGGTAAACTGGTAAGATTTTTAAATATGTCAGTACAACATATATAGCACATACATGTTCAGTTGTGAAGTGGTGAAGTGTTATGATGTCCCAGTCAAATGTAAACACATACTTGTTGTAATGTGGATCAACCTTTCAATCAAGCGGTCGCTGGTTAGATCCTTTAGCGGGGCAAATTATACGTGACCATTGATATAGGAGATTGAGTGTGACGGTAATGTGTCACATATGCTTATTCTAATATCATGTGGCGTTAATAGTTTGCCACACAACGTAATTGGTATTTACTGCTTAGATAATGAGGCAAGTAAGTTAAGTATATCGTCAATGTTCCAGGAATATCCCATTATAGTTATCGTTCGAAGCCAGTTTAACCTTAAGATGTAGCTTTATCACAAACAAAATATGACTAAGTCACTGTGCTTAACATATCAACTTAAGCAATTCTTGGATGCATTTATTCCATTGTCTAGTATAGCATAATCTAGCACATCTGAACAGATAGTTCAGAGGATGCTGTCTTTTGCACTTTTAACATATTTTCTTTGTTGCAAGATGTTGAGGAAAGTTTCTGCAGCGGTATACACTTAAAGAAACAGCAGATTCTAGTGTTAGATGCAGCAGTAACATATCAAAGAAATACTTCGAAAACATTTTACAGTCACACTTGAATATTTAGAAATAATAAGATTTAATAGGAAAAATACGTTATTTCTTTTAGTGAAATAACTGATTTATTGCTGGCTGGAATTATAAATCTGAAAATTTAATAAATTATAATGATTACAGAATAATTTTATGAACATTTTACAGTATACTTATAATTCTTAGGAAAGTTTAGTACAAATTCAAGTTTATAAAAAAATCACAGATCTTCCGGTTGATAAAAAATTACACCAAAATACCATGCCGAGACATTAATTTGTAATTTTGAATCGATTCGAATCTAGAATCAGTGGATAAATTTCAGTTTGATTTCAGTTCGATACAACTTTACAATTCAATGAGATCAATACTGGATTGTACGAGGACTTACGTATATAGGAATAAAACGTGTGCAGTTACACTTCTGAAACAAGTGGGAAGTCAGACAAATCCACATCCATGTAATTGGTTTGTTATTTTTTACAAGATACATCTATTTTGAGGTATCTCTGATTTTGATGTTGAATACAAAAACAAACAAAAAAGAATTAAAACCGTTTAACATTTCCATGAATTTGTACATTTCATTTGTTGTAAAAATCCGAGGGATGTACACTGCACAAAGGATTTGGTCTTAGAGATGGCCATCGTTTAAAAATGATTCTGTCGATGTCCTTGTTGCAAACATTATAATGTTGAACTTCAAATGGGTCATCATCGGCGGATTTTTTTTATAAAATCTATAATATAAATGTAAATAGAAATCAGATTAAGATAAATCCCTGCGATGTATCGGTTTCGTAAAATAGCAATATGTTTCATAACGTGTATTAACTCTAACATATGTTTGATACCGTACATTGCAAGGTTACACTTAAGCAATTATAATAACCGATAACTCTACCCGAAAACTAGAAAAATAAACTTAGTGTGGATAAAAAGATGATAAGAGAAGACAACGAATACCACCTGTCACATGACCTCCGCAAACATCGAGGTTTCTGTGAGCCCCCAAGAAATATCGTAGATAGACGAAATCACGGCATCCTGTCTTGCGAGCTCATACAATTCAATGTGTACCCTGTCTTGCGATAACAAGCAAATGTTACGTTCAGTCACTGTACTTCCTTGGAACCTTTATATTTTGATTCGTGTTGTTCTTGCGATAACAGAAAGTAAACTTTTTAATACAGTGTGAGTAAGTTTATAGTTTAAAAGCCAAAAGTAATATTTTGGCGAAAAAGGTTAACTAGATCGACAGACTAGGGCATAATACAACATTACTAATCGCATTATGTCATATATCATTTACAATTTGCGTGTGACAGTCGATAGAAAGTGACATTGAATTTGACTCTAGGTAAAATTGACTAAAACAAAGACGTCATAAAGCATTGGCTTATTTCAAGCTTATATTTGTTTGTTTTTTGTTTTTTGGTTTAACGTTACATTGACACAGTATAGGTCATATCGCGTCGTTCCAGCTTTACAGGTGGAGGAAGACCTCAGGTACCCTTCCGTGCATTATTTCAGGCACAAACGGGCACCTGAGTAGAACCATCGACGTTCCGTAAGCTAGCTGGATAGCTTCCTCACATGAAAGAATCCAAAGTCCCTGTCAGGATTCGAACCAACAGCGGTGAGGGGCAAGTGGTTTGAAGTCAACGACCTGAACCACTCGGCCACGCATGCCCAAATAATTGGATACCAATCGATGATGACTTTACGGGATAAAGATAACTAGCAAATCAATCTACGAAAAGGTTACTTTAAACAAATATCATGTATGAACTATAGATTCATACAGTGTCCTCGTGTAAATACAGCAAGAAAATGGATAGACGTTTTGCCATGCATTCAATTGACCATTTACACCGTTTAGGAAGAAAAGGATACTAGTGTCGTAAACAGGAAAACAGAAGCACACCCCAAAATCATTTATGTTTACTTTTATTTTCATTAGTCAAGTGGTTGTGGAGAAGATATTCTTAAGGAAAAATCTTAACAACGGACGAGAGACGAAAGGCACTGAATATCACAAAAGGTAACATTGAGCACTTTGTGCTCACGTAAGCTAAAAAAATGACCGCTTTGGACAACCTATTTAAAATCTCAAATTCAAATAACGTAGCACAACTCTCTTCTTTAAAGGTTAAGAGACTGAGGTATTTTTTTAAAAATCTTAATAAAACCTCTATGTGTGTATGTGTTTGTGGTCCAAACCTTAGAAATCAATTGTATAGTCACCAAACCAAATTAATCGAGCAGATATTTTACATTTGTACTGAAACCGTTTTTATAAAGTATTGCTCGTATATTATTTTATTCACATTATGAGTTAAATTTTCTCAATACATTACGAGTTAAATTTTCTCAATAAGCAGTTTACAACTCAGTTTTGTCTTTTTTTTATAGAAATTATTCATTAATAACGATTTTTCTGTAAGCATTATGTCATAGTGTTACGCTTGCTCACAAGTAAGTCTATGACTATAAGTAAACACGTGAGACAGCCATATTAACGAAATAATGTTAACTGACTGTGCTCTGTCTTTGCCCTGTCCTGTTTTTGTTTGGGGTCCGCCTGGGATCCTTGCCATTGGTTCTTGTTGCTGGGTCATATGGGGGTTGAGTTCATTGAACGCCGCCTTTCCTTGTTGATCTTGTTTATCATATTTCATGACTCGACCTTTACCAAATAGCACTGAATATCGTTACAAAAATTTGTTTTCGATAAACTTGTGAGAAAATTACGTATGCTAATAGGAAAACAAACTAAATAGGGAAATTTCAATGTCATTTCTTATCTCCATCTGTTATTATACATGCTTTTTTAATCAAATGAAATATATATAATGACAAGGCTTGATTAAAAGTTGTCATATGATAGGTAGCAAAGATACATCGAACAACGTAAGTTGAATATCTATATTTATACAATGAAAATGTTTATATGTTTAGGTATTTAGGTATATATCGTTCGAGCGACTTTCAAACTATAATTATAAAACACTATAACAGTATCATTTAAATATATTGACAGATGCTTTTGAACATTGTGTATAACGTTATGTGGAGTAAATTGTCCGTGCAGTGATGCATGTAGCAATCAAGATGACGGATAGGAATCTGTTTCTCCACGTATTTCGTTCCTAATGAAGAAACCACATACAAGGATGCGGTTGTTATTTGAGGCAAATCGGAATACAAGTGTAATGAATGTGTAAGCTTTGTTAACTATCGTATATTTACACACAAATAATTTCTGCTTTATCAGTGTCTATACCGTAAACTTTCAAAACCGAAATTACTTACTTTTTCACCATTTTAACCAATGTTTGCATGATCATGCACTTCTTTAACTGCAATGTTGATCACCTACACCTTAAAGTACTGCTAATATTTCCAGACCGATTTACCTGAACAGATTTCTTTAGTACACAATAAATTTTAAGATTCTCTGATAATCATTCTTACATAACACAGAAAATCCTTTTGCTAAAATATTAGAATCAAGTGAAAATATTTTATTTAAAGTTTGCTGGAGCGTAAATTAATTGGAATTGCTACCAATATAACAAACTCTTACTGTAATTTCACCATTATTATAATAAGCACGGTTCTACCATTTAAGGTAGAACGCGACACTTTTGTGTAGCGTCTTGAAATTGGCATAGAAAACGTTGATTATATTTCATATTAGATTCTGTTCATTTCATTTTAATAGTTTCAGCCATTTTTGTTGACATGACGCCAATGTTGACCATCAAAGCCCGTTTTGGAACATGACGTCGCTGCTAATTCTTGGCTATTGTTACGGGTACTGCAAGGCCACCGGAAAACAACATAGTCTTTATTCTACTGTATCCGCCGGAAATATTCTTTTCTTTCATGTTGCATAAAGTTAATCGTTTAACTGAAACATGGAAAGAAATTATCAATTCATTTTTCGGCTTTATAGCAATTAAATTAAGAATTTCTGAATTTTTTTTTTTATTTTTTAAATGTTCTTTACAATATATACCCTGGCTTAATAAAACTAAGTCATAGGGGGTCGACTCAAATGTATCGGTATATGTGGTTTTATTTCCCCCACCCGTCGCATAACTGCGACTTACGCAGATACCTTTGATACTTCATATTATGGCAATTATGTTAAGCTAATCAGGAGCATTATTCTTGTGTTTTACTTGTCCTTAAATATATAAAAACAACAATGAACTTCTGTTCCATGGCAAAGCTCTTAAATTAAAATGAGACCTTGAGATGAAAAAGCGTAATTATTGTTATGTTTACAATCTTAGCGTGAGATTTAGGCGCTATTTTGTGCGAGCTCGTCACAGTTTCTGAAAGATATGAAATCATCGACACAACAGACTAGTAAACTCTGAATACAGGGTTTTAATTTCTACACATCATATAACCTTAAATTGATTAAACTTGTTAAATCTGGAGAAACACTTTTCTAGTAAACTATCACGAACTAGGTCGCAGTGCAATTTAATTTAATAAGTTATGGCTTTCTGTGTGTCATGTTTATGTTTGCTTAAAAATAAATAAATAAAGAGAAATATTTAAAAAAAAATAAAAATACAAATGATATATAATTAAAATTCATGAAATAAATTCAAATATCATAATATTTTCGAGACATTATATTAACATAAAACAACAGTAATATTTGACTCCTTTATGAGAAATAATCTAGAATAATATGTCAGTACCAGGATCAACTGTTTAAGTCATGGACGGCGTTATTTGCGAAAATAGTCACAAACGTTTTACGCTAAACATATGCGAAAATGTAAATAAAAGTTTTAAACAAATATGCACACTACTCAAACAAATTAACTACATACAGCTTAGAGTTATCATTGCGTTCTAACTTCTTGATATTTTAGTGCAGTAAAATTCTTTAACTTGAATCGAGAATATGCCATAAAAAACAAAAGCAACACTTCATTTACATGTAAATTCAGAAATTTAAGCACTCATAAATTAATATTTGGGCTACAAGAAGAGGTGCAAAGCTATAATATCTACACTTTATATGATACTCGTATATGCTGTGAGTGATGTTGGTTTTATTTCACCAATTAAAACCAAGAATTTCACGTGTAAGCATAAACTATTGCAGCAATTTGACATTTGAGTATGTGCCAAATATTTTACATCTGAACGAAAAAAGTGGCTTAACTGAACGTCAAATTTTATAAAAAAAATACATTTTTCTTTCCATTTTTCAAATATTTGTCGGCGTAAAAAATTAATTTATATCAGCATTTATTTTAGAAAAATAATTATCGTCAAACACATAAGAATTTAAAGTATTTGATAACCGGTGACCTGGTAGTACCCGTTATAGTTGCGACGTCATGTCCAACACGGGCTTTGGTGTTCAACTTTGACATCATATCTACAAAAATGGCTAAAACTTTTGGATATAATAAATAGAATATACCTGCAATATGTCACCATTTTAAATGCCAATTTTCAAGACGCTACCCGAAAGTTCGCATAAGCAATCTTCCTTAACGACGTTTTCAGAAGTTTTCATATAGTTTCCATCTAGGCAGAATTAAAACTGTTCAAAATAATTTCTTCAAACTTGGCATGCTGTTAGAATATCAGATGTCAAAAACAAATTGCGAAAAAAATGGATGTCTTTCAAAACAGACTCTACTTGTTTGGGATGACTGCATGCGACATCTTTACACATCCAACGGCCTGTCAAAATTCATACATTTGAACATTAACTGCTCTGTTTAGAAAAGCTTCTAGTACATATGTTTGATATAAAAACGTGTAATACATTGCTCATTTCAGGAAACTTAACTTATATTGAAGAAACGACAACATGGCGAAAAGTTTAATATATTGCATCTTTTACATTGTCCTTTTAACGGGGACAACTCCAGCATTATGTTTGAACAAGCTGGAGCAAGAAAAAGAAACCAACAATCAGAAACGATTTGCTGTCGCTGCTATTCCAGTGTACGCCGGTGCAGCCGTTTCACCGTGGGTATGGGCAGCGCTTATTGTAGCTTACGGTGCAGCAGAACTCTACAAATATTCCGTTACTAGGACATGTATCCTTTTTTATTTTGAAATGAAAGTTATGTTTACTTTAATACGCTCGAACCTTTTTCAATTGAAATAACCTTACATAAACAATATTTTTTATAGCTTATTAACAGGTATTATGCAAAATTTTTAGTTTAAGTCTATACGCAGTGATATACCTAGTATTGACATAAACATGGATGATTGTGCTTTTACCCATTGCTGTATCTATGATATTGTCATATGATGTCTAGCGTTTCTTCCTTTATTTCTTTAATTCATTTGTATTATTTATGCAATTTCACTTCCTAATAGGCGTTGCTTTTCACTTTTCCCATCATTTATTTGTGATCATATTTATTGCACTTTACTTTGCATTTATTTAAAAATTAACAAATTTAGTATGCATTTAAATGATATTCTTGTCTAATGACTAATCTTATAATACTGCTACTAATTCACTTGATATCCATTTGTTAAAACCCCTCGTAAAGAACATGAACATGAACGAAAAGCAATTTGGCAAATAGTATAAAATAGCTATTATGTATTTTCATATATTTGCTTGCCTCTTTTTTACTCTACTTTTATTTACTTGTTAAGCAAAATGTATGTTGTATGATTACATTTTAATATTTTCGTATCATCATCATCATCATCATCATCATCGTTATTTTTATCGGTTACATGGCAATGACAAATCATACATTCTCCTTGATTTCAAAAAAGCAAGCGACAGTCACAGTTGTGATGGCAATAATGGATGGTGTAGAGATACTTGTGAAAATCATGAGTACATCGACGACCGCCATACACCCGTCTGTGGTAATTACTATTGCTGCAAATCTAGGATCTAATTTAATTTAGTTGCTGTTGTATTTTTTTAAGTCGAGTGTTTTGGAATTTCAGAGAATAAAAGATGTAGAGATATTTTTGTGTTGTTAATATTCTTGTAACGCATGCTTGTGTATTATAGTTGATAAGTACATATCGTTGTGGCCCATTCTATGGAAAGGCTGCTTTACTAAATACTGTATTTCAATAAAGGCAGAATAACTAACTATAAAACAGATAAAAACCTTTCCAGTGCTTAAAATAGAAAATTTTTGTCGTACACATTAACAGAATATGGACACATTCTATTGAACAGGAAATGTCTAAGTTAATTTTTTCACTCACACGTTTGTAACAAAGAAAGCTTTGGTTGTTTACAGTGGGTATGCGTACATCAAGTCCAAGTTATTTTTTGTTAAATATAAAAAGCGATAACGATAAATATGCTAATAACATGTTTATAACTTTAAATAATATCAAATTCGATTATTTTGTTCAGATACTTCTCTTGTCCTTCGGGAACACTAAATCCAGTACCTTAAGTGTTGAAAATTGAATACCGGTACTACTTCAGCCGATGCTTGTGTGTGGGGCTGGGGCGTTGGAAATATCTCTTATGAATATGGTTTGCAATTCTTAACCATTAGAGTTTGTTTTCGTAGCCAGCTTGATACCGTGTTTAACCTCAACGCATTCAGCAAGTTTTATAAGAGAAGTTCATGTTCGATTTGCTCTGTAGACATGAAGTCGTATACATCAAATTGTGCTTAAAGACACAAATTATTGCTAATGTTCATATTTTTATACAACATATAGATAGATTAATAATACTTGGACAACTACACAGTACGATAATCATGTTGTGATGTCAGCATTTCAAATCTTAGCAAAATCATTGTCTGATTAGCATGATTTGTTGTGAAGTTGTTTGTCTTCCAGTTAAAAGTTAAGATAATTTAAGAACGGTCTACAAGAAACAGCAGACAGTACATATGTAACTGAAAAATTATTGTTGTGATTCAAGATTTGTTTCTATTTATAAATATTTGTGAAAGATAAAAGATCATACGGCATTATTTTGTTCGTCTTAAATTGATAACGATTACGTTTTAATTTTGATCTTTAATATGTATTTTTATTGTTCTACTTCGATAACAATTTAATTTTGAAATATTATAAATCATAAATTAAAAACTTTATAGATCAGTGCGTGCGTACGCGTGTTTCTACATGTCACCAAGGGTCCTGATTGTTTAGTTAATCAAATATTAAGATTAGCATTGACATCAAACGATATGCAAATTTCTAATGAGGTTGTCATTTTACTTTACTATTTGTTAAATACTTAATTGTGTGTCGTAGTTGGTTGTGTATATCTCCGTGGTGTTTACACGTATATCTTTGTTGATGCAAATACATAGTCGTTTATTGGTCTAAAATCTTCTTAAGACAAAAACTGATACAAATAACGGTTTTAAAGAAAATGTGGATAACAATTCTAACTTTTTGCTACTAAGATATGACATTATTTTGATTAAAAATTCAGATTGACCTTGAAATATTGATGTAAGAGGCGCATGATACTGTATTCCATAACTTCTCTTTGATGTGTGAGTTGGTTCTTATGTCGAACTTTAAAGATAAGACTGTTCATTGAAACGGTCGTAAGTGTCATCACATTTAGTCCTTAAGTTTGTCTCCTACAACTTCAAAGATACTCTAAACACATTTAAAGTCTAAATTTTAAATTTTTAAATTTTATTTTTACGTTCGTTTATATCCTAGTAAGTTCAGTAAACATAAATATCGTATTGATAATGTAAACAATGATTTGGGGTCTCCGTGGCCGAGTGGTTAAGGTCGCTGACTTGAGATCACTGGTCCCTCAACGCTGTAGGTTCGATCCTCACTTGGGTCGAACTCTTTCATATGTGGAAGCCATCCAGCTGGCTTACGAAAGGTCGGTGGTTCTACCCGGGTGCCCGCTCGTGCCTGAAATAATGCCCGGATGGGCACCTGGGGTCTTCCTCCACCAATAAAAGCTGGAAAAATTCGACGAAAAAATCTCGGCGGGACGCTCTAGGATGGCCCGACTTGAGTGTACGGTCGCCCATATGGGCTTTCCGGCGGCGACCTTAAAACTACATTAAATATATTTCTTAAAAACAAAAATAGCGACATTTCATTAGTAAATTTGGTTTCATATCGACTCCAGATCTTATTATGGTGTTAAGGCAACCAAAATGAGTTTTATAAGCATAAACATCTGCGACCTCATTGTGGCGAAATCGGAATTTGCATGAGAAACCCCGCCTTCGGGTCATCCGTACATCAATATTAAATCAACAAACATGGTTATAAGGAGCAGTCCTAATATAACGGTATATTTACGCTTTGTAACGGTTGTTTTCATACAAATTTAATATTATTATGAGATGATTACGTTTTCCTGAAAGCCGTGACAAGTACATCGTGAAGCTAAAACGGAAGAAGTGTGTATGCACAAGAAAATCTCGTATTTGCTGTGTTCTGTATAGCAACTATAACACTGTGACGTAGCACATATAGTCTTCATTTGCATGTTAAAATTCGTATACGAACTTTAGTGTTACCGTGGGGTTTTCCGTTTAAAATCCTAATTTATGAACAATATTTGATGCGATTTACAACAATACTTTTAAACAGGTTAATAATACAGTAGAATGCTTGGTAATTAGGCCGACGGCAAAATATTTTTACATATTTATTAAATGTAACTTTACATTAAATAAATATGTAAAACTATTTTTCCGTCGGCCTAAAAATCAAACATTCTACAGTTTCATTAACCTGTTTAAAAGTTTTGTTGTAAATCTCATCAAATATTGTTCATAAATTAGGATTTTAAACGGGAAACCCCACGGTAACACTAAAGTTCGTATACGAATTTTAACATGCAAATGAAGACTATAATGAGCTCGTGTATGCGCTACGTCACAGTTTTATAGTTGCTATCCGGAACACAGCAAATGTGATATTTTCTTGTGCAAACACACTTTAACCGTTAAAGCTTCACGGTGCACTAAACCTGGGTTTCAGTAAAAGTAATCATCTCTTAAAAAGATTAAATTTGTATGAAAACATCCGTTACAATGCGGAAATATACCGTTAAATTAGGACTGCCACTTATAGTCATGTTTGTTGATTTAATATTGATGTACGGATGATCCGAAGGCGGAGTTTCTCATGCAAACAGAAATTGTACTTCCCATTTCGCCACAATGAGGTTATCTATTTTTATGCTAATAAAACTCATTTTGGTTGTTTGGACACCAAAATAAGACCTGGAGTCGATACAAAACCCAATTTATTAATGAAATGTCGCTATTTAGTTTTTTATGAAATTTATTAAATGTAACTTTAAATAAACGCATTGAAAATATATACATTGATTATAATTCATACTACATTGTATGCAAATCTTATTTAGTGCTCGCCAATTTTTTAAGCCAATCACCGACGAGGATTTTTCAAATTTTCAGGTTTCAAATCTTAACAGAACAGATTTTATATAAACTGGACGTTTTATATTATAAAACGCAAGTGGGCGTTGACTAAGCCGGTTAGAGTGCATATTGGATGTTCTTCGAAATAAGAAAGCTATAATCGCTTCGCAAGCTCCGCTCTTTTTTAGCTTTTTTATTTACGAAGAACACCCAATATGCACTCTAACCTATACTTTGTAACTTTTGGGAAACGACTTCGGATAAAGTACTTTTTTCCGGTAGCAGATTTGTGAAGCTTATCGTCATTCATAATGACAAATGACTATTTATGGAAAAATTAAATACACCAAAAGTTACTCCGTTAATTAACTACATCTTGATATTATTGTCATGATTCGCCATCTTCCTGGAATAAAAGGGGAATGTCAACTTATGTCTAAACTCCTACGCAATAATTGTTTTTGTCCTCGCAGCCGGATCTTTCACTTTTTATGTACCGAATTACAGTAAATATTGCTACAAATTCTTTGTTTACTACACAACTGTGGGAAAAATGAAGTATGTTAAGAAGAAACTATCTGAAGAATTCGAAATACCTTAAAGTAATTTCTTATCTGTAAGGTTCCGTCTGATGACATATATAATATAAAAGGCTATGTTGACTGATTCCCATCTGTAAAGAGAGGGCAAACACGCGAATGCTAAGGTAAGTTGATATTAAGATATTAAATAGAAAGGATTTATGATTTACATTTCCCAACAAATTTTTTTTTCATCTTGCTTTCATACTTCAAACTTGTACTTGTAAATGTACTGTCAAAACTTGTACTTGTAAATGTACTGTCAAATCTAGTACTTGTAAATGTACTGTCAACTGCTGTGCAATCGTATTACATTTTACTGCTATTTTTTCCACATCAATTCAAATTTAGTGCTTCTGTAATTTCCTGATGTCGGTTTCTTTAACAGATATCGTTTGTATAATATAACGATCTAAAGTTTATCTATATATTCATTTTGATCTGATTACATGTATAAAAATAATTTTAATTGTAAATAACAAGTAATAGGTGAACTCATTTATTGCCTGTTTAATGAAAAGCAAAAATCAATTGGAATGTTATTAGTTTTAGAAACTATATTTCTTCATTATGTTTAAAATTATAAGTTGTGTCATATTTTAATCTGTCTATTATATTTTTTATTTTAATTTTGGGCCTCATCTCTCATGAACATGAAATCAAAACGACTTGCAGTTTCTTTTAAACTATCTTCTCTCTCAATGAAATATATGATGTCACTCACATCTGACATGTTGGAGACGAATTATTGACAATGTATACGTGTTTGCAACAGTCTTGCAAAATAACTGTTAAGATACTTATAAATGACACTGCATTTATAGCACTTCAAATGCAACCAGTCATTTTTGGGTCCTGAACATGGGCCACTTTATTATTCAAAACAACTATTTTCTAGACATAATTGAATCCGTTTTCATGTAACTGACGCCTTAAAGACAACACTATACAAAATGTAAGCAAGCTGTACAATCAATGACCGCAGCTGTTTTGGAAAAGTATCACAGTAGACCTAGGGCACATTGGTCAA